GCTTTGAACAAACTAACCAAGAACCTTTGGTTCAACAAATATGTAAGAGGAAATGGAGATGGGTAGGCCATACATGCCACTGGGGAGGCCGTCGAATTACATAACGCTCAATGCAGGCCATCGCTTGATTTGAACCCGAATAAGGAACGAGTGACGAGTGGGTTGCGAATGCGAGGGTGACATGAAGGAGGTCGTGTGTTGAGGAGGGATGAGAGGTTATGGGTAATCGTGGACCCAATCAGCTGGAGAGGACAACACAGAATAGAAAAAAAAGGGTGATGTGTTGTCGAATTCGTGTTTTCGACTTGCAATCCAAGGGAGTGATAAAAATAATAATAATATTAATCAAAGCATCATAGTTAGACTGTCAAAAATGTACTATTAAGGAAGGAATTTAAAAAATGTTGACATATTTAATAGGTAACTAAAGTACAGAAGTATTTTCCGTGCCAAGCTATTTCATATTCTAATGATAAGATTGAAAAGACACTTCTGACTGCATCTAAAGGCTCAGTCATTCGGTTTATTAGAACTGTTATAACTCTTTATTATGGATGACCCATGATAATAATTCCAACAAAAAAATTATCAATTTTCAGAGGTGATTTTACCCGAATTTAATTGATCTCAAGCCAGATTTTGATAATTAAGGGCATCATTCACATTTAGTGAGTTATTATTATTATTGTTTCCTTTAATTCCTAGAGGAACATAGGGCTTTCAGCCCCACATCTCCATTGCGTTCGGTTCTCTGCTAGAGTCTTCACCTGGCTCCAAGTCTGTCCACACGTTTTCATCTCCTCTTCACATGACCTCCTCCACTGACGACCAATTCGCCGCTTCCCTTTCGGGTTCCACTCGAGCAATGGCTTGTCTAGTGATGTCACTTGATGGTTTCCTCAGAGTATGGCCAATCCATCTCCATTTCTTCCTGCCTATTTGTTTCACAATCGGTTCTTGGTTAGTTCGCTCATTGCCAGAGATCTCTGTTGCTGATCTTTTCTGGCCAGCCATCTGATCTTGAGTATTGAGCGAAGACAACTGTTAATGAAGGTCTGTAGTTTGTTTGAGATGCTCTTTATGACTCCCAGTGCAAGTCTCTGATCCATCCGTATAGTAGCACTGACTTCACATTGGAGTTGAAAATCCGGATCTTATTTTTGATGCTGAGTAGTGCTGTTGACCTCCACACAGACTTGACGTGAGTAGTGAAAGCTTGTCTTGCTTTTCCAATTCTTGTTTCGATATCCTCGTCGCTTCCGCCTGTAGTTGAGATGATGCTTCCCAGGTAGGTAAAAGAGGTTGTTTCTTTCAGGTTCCTTCCATTTATGCTGACTCTTGTCTGTTGTTGTTGCTGCTGTTGGTGGTGTTGCCCAGGAATCATCATCATCACCTCTGTTTTCTCTATGTTCGCCTGAAGTCCTATCTTCTCTGGATGCTTCTTCTGCCAACTTGTTGCTTTTCATTTGCATATCTTCCAGTTTGTGGGAAATCAGACATAAATCATCGGCGAAGTCCAGATCCTCTAAGTTTTTTTTTGTGAGTCCACTTTATGCCTGTTTCCTCATTGCCCGCTCTTTGTCGCATTATCCAGTCTACTGCAATCAGGAAAATCATTGGCGATAGTAGGCAGCCAGCATTGTCTTACTCCTGTCCTCACTTCGAAGGATTCCGTAAGTTTCCCGTGACTGAGTTAATACTGCACATTTTACTGGGCAATTCTTTCATTCTAGCTTAAGACTTTTCAGCAGTACACGTTTAAGACCTTGTAGGAAATCCAATTTATGCGGTTATTATATTAGGATAATTGCCCTAATGAATATTGCTCCAGGATGATCCGTTAGCATGACTACCACTTCAAATCCCACATCAACATCATTACCATCAAACAGTTGGCTCGTCTGCATCCGCTGTCCTATGAAGAATTCGTTGTGAATAACGCAAGTTTACTTCTTTGCACAAAAGTGTATCAGTTCGAGATGTCACACATCAAAGCAACAGAAAGAATCTAATGAGACTACAATGGACGAAAGCATACGGGAGAAGGAATAATCACATAAGATGAGTGATAAGTTTTAGAATTTGAAGCACATCAATCAGTAAGAACATCTGTGTCGTTAACATCATCTTTGAGGCATCTCAACAAGTCTTCACAAATTGGTTTCCAGCATCTTGAGAACAGACGGTTTACAACTCATAACGTGGATAAAACCAACAGTTAAAGACTTGATGTGGTTGTGTTCTCTGAGCTGGATAGTTAATTTGCGAAGCTTTCATCATCCTGCCAGGTGACATCTTTAGCGCATACTTCAATTTGAAGTAAGCTTTTAGATTTCTCCACGAGTTTATTAATCATCTCTCCTGGTGGGTGACCTTGGACGTGATTGGTTGTTTTTGGGTGTTTTCACACCCTCTAGGCTACTTGTATTGGAGCTGATTGCTTCTTTGACTTGAACTTTGAATCTTTGTGTGTGAGATTTCCTTCTTATCGGTTGATAAATTTTGTCTATCTCGATGTGACTATTGATTGACGATTCACCGGAATGCCAAGTTTCTAAAAATTCTCTAGCATTCTTGTTGTTTCCTCTGTCTAATATTTAAACGTTGTCCCAGTCGAATTGATGTCCGTGGTTGTCTGTATGTAGTGATATGAGGGAGTGGATGTCATGTCATTTGACGGCTAGCTTATGCTCATGGATACGAAGACGAAAGGGATGTCCACTTTGGCCAATGTAGTGTTTTTCGCAGTTGTTACAATTTATTTTTTAGATGATGTTGGTTTTATCTTCTTTCGTTGTTGAGTCTTTTGGTTGACACAGAACTGAGTGAAGTGATTTTGTTGCTTTGTGTGCGACGTGAATTCCTAAAGGTTTGACGAATCTTGCAGTGATTTCTGATATATCCTTTATATATGGTTTGGCGACTTTGTGCTTTCCTTGTGGGTTTTTGGTTTGATAGGTTGACTTGGCGGTATATGTCTTTTGATGAAATTCCGTGGATATCCATTCTTTTGGAAGACGTTCATGAGATTTCTTTCTTCAATTTTCCTTAAGGTGGAAGTGCTGCAATGAGTCCTGGCCCATTTGAGTAGTGTTTGCATGCAATTCCTTTTGTGTGTTATTGGATTGTTGCTGTTGCAATTCAGTATTTGGTCTGTGTGAGTTGAGTTAAAGACTTGACAGATGGGTAACGCGATTTTATCATAGCACATCCAAATATTATTTTATTATTGTTATCCCCTTGAGTTCCGAGTGGAACATAGGGCTTCAACAACACATCTCCACTTTCTTTTATTTTCTGCTCCCCTCTTCGGTAAAGTCCACGATCGACCATAATCTCTCATCTCCTCATCATCCCGAACACACAATCGCGTCCATGTCACTCTCTCACTCACCACACACAGGTCTCTTCCCATTTGGATTCCACTCGAGCAATGGCCTGCATTGAGCGCCATGTCAATCGATGGTTTCCTCAATGTATGTCGAATCCATCTCCATTTTCTCCTACATATTTTTGAGCGATCGGCTCTCGCCTATTGGTTTGTTCAACACCAGAGTTTCTTGTAACTAATTCTTCCCGGCCATGTGATTTTAAGTATGGAGCCAGTGAAGGCAGCTGTTAATAAAAGTCTGCAACCTGCTGGAAATCCTTTTCATAACACGCAGTGCAAGTTTCTGACCAGCGGAGGAGGATCGACTTGACATTTGTGTTGAACAGAATCCGAATCTTGTTCTTTATGCTGAGTGCGAAAGATTTCCAAACTGAGTTCAGGTTGATGAAGGCGTATCTTGCCTTTCCGATTCTGGCTGGCTGGCTTTGACATCTTCACCCTTGCTGTCCAACTGCCTGCCTGTGGTTGAAACGATGCTTTGTAGATAAGTGAAGGAAGTGACCTGTGTTAAATCTCTCTTCCTCTGATGGTGATTGGTGCCGGTTGGTATTGCTGTTCACTGGTTATCCTCATCACCTCCGTCTTCTTTATGTTCACCTGGAGTCCTGTTTTCTCCACTTCTTTAGCCAGTTTGTTGCTTCTCGCCTGCCTGCAAGTCTTCCAGTTTGTGTGACGTTAAACATAAATCATCTGCCGCAAAATTCAGATCTTCTAGAGTCTTCTTATCGACCACTGCAGGGCATTCCTGTCTTCTCACTCCTAACGCACAGCCTGACGCATAATCCAGTCCACCACAATTAAAAGTATCATCGGTGATAATAGGCAGGCTGCCTTATCTTACGCCTGTACGCACTTCGAACGCCTCGTTGAGTTTTCTGTTGTAACTTCAACTATTCTCTAGCATAATCCTAATTTAGTTGACATCACTCATCCAGGAAGGTGGTAATTCACCGTGCATATCATATGGCCCAACCATCTTAATCAATACACCTTCACAACATCATCGAATATCTTTCCTTCATTATCTAACAATACTATACTCCTAAATTCACTAGCCCTACCTCTCGAAACAACACGACAGACTCAACGTTAGCACCCGTAGTCAAAAAACCTAATTCCCTCAACTATAAAACCGAACGGCGCAAAATGGTGGAGAGTAAACACATTCTGTGATGGGAAGATGGATACTACTACGTCGGTTCTAAACATGAAGCAAGCTGACGGGATTGTGGGAAAACCCTACAGATAACTGGTAACAAGCATAGAAACTTTTTTTTGTTTCACGTTCCCCAGTGAAACATAGGGCTTCAACCTAGAGGCTTGAAGTTTCTGTAGCAGTGTTTATTTTTACAGGATGGGTTGCTAGCCTCATGCCCAACCTTTCCTCTTCACCAGCATTATTTCTGGCTTAGCGAGCGAGGGAAAGGAGTGCGTCGGCTGGGGATCGAACCCCGGACCATGTGCATGGTCGGCGAGCGTCCTATCCGCTATGCCACCGACGCACATAGAAACTTAGATCAGATCAAAACACAAAATACGTTTTAAAAAAAATGCAAGAATCATTTTAATAAAACGAATGTTAATATAACATTAAATGATTACTGCTCACCTCAATGTGTAGCGTAACTCTACTGATGTGCATTGGATCAATTTCTTCAGCCACTTTCAAAGTGAAGATATTTGGATTTGGTAATTTCATTGGTAATTTGTCTAATACAAAAAAGGTGTAAAACAACCAAATAGTGGGAAAAAATAAATTTGATTTAGAAAATAAAAATTGAAGTTCACTGAAATTAACAAACACCTTTTTCATGGTACAGTCACGAATTGACATCAGTTAGATAACCATTGGAAAACCGCTGGAGAGTACTAGACAGCTGGCTATTCCATTCTACTTTGTGGTTTGTAGAGATTTGATTGATTGGTTACAGGATTTCATCATGAGCTGATATTGGTTAGAGAACCATTGGAAATCTACCTGGGAGTACTGCACAATTGTTTCATCTTATTTTGGGACTCTTCATCAGTATGTACCCACCACCAGCGTTCGAACCCAGGACCTTTTGGTTATAACGCTAGCTATCTCGTATACCACTCAGCCACTGGAACCTGATTCGACTGCCAGTTCATGAATTCTAACTTCTACCTACTCGTGATTTAGCGCGACCCCAACCATTGTCGTTGGTGGGACATCCATCCACACACGTGACATCTAATTGGACCTCACCGGTCACGACTTCTCACTAGAACTCCAGGGAACTCCATACTGTATCAAGTCACTAGCGAGCATCAGATTAATTTTCTATAGTTTGGTTTGTAAGAATTAGTTATTATATCAATCCGTGATCAACTCGTAAAAACATAGCCAACCCCTACAAACCAAACTATGGAAAATATAATCGGGTAGTTAATCTTTTAGGCTAAAGTCCAAATCTTGTGTTCCAGCAATGTGCTCTCAGCTATTATAGTAATTATAGTAATAACTTAGAATATGCAGACGATATAGTCCTCCATCCTGAGTGAAGACGCTGACAAAATTCATAGTCTTCTCAACACCTGGAGCTGCAATCTACGAATGTCCGGCATGCGATTCGCTCCCGCTAAATGTAAGATGATGTTACAGGACTGGACTACACTGACTCGTAGCTTAGAAATAGGGAGTGAAGTGGTAGAGCACGTTGACCATTCACTTCACTTATTTGGGAAGTTTTAGCAGGCAACGCCAACCGATTGATCCCTGATGAGATCTCAGCACAGATACACAAGGCTCGTTTCGCATATGCCAGTTTACGCAGTCTCTGGCGTAGACGTGATACCTGGCTATCGACTAAAGTGTGTGTGTACAGCTCATCAGTCCCCTCCGTCCTCCTTTATTGCTATGAGACCTGGCCATTGAGAGTGGAAGACATGAAAAGACTAGCTGTCTTTGATCATAGGTGCCCACGTTCTATCTCCTGTGTGAAGTGGTATAATAGGGTGAGCAATATTCTGGTTAGGCACTGAGTGCTAGGTAAGGAGGGGAAATCAATCGACGAGGTTGTGAAGCTACATCGATTGAGATGGTTAGGAAATGTGTTACGCATGCCTAACCACTGCCTTCCTCGATGGGCAATGTTAGGAAACTGTGTGCAGACATTGTTTGAAAGAGTTCAAACACAAGACTATATCACTCCTGTGTTGAAGAGAATGGAGGAAAAGTACCTACTAACCGTCTTCAGAAAGAATGGATATGCCCCTCACAATTTCATTAAAAAGTGTTTATACTCGTGTCCTAACACCAACAACAAGGCAACATCAAAAACCTCAAGGAAATATCTCTGAAATAACAGCTAGAATATTAAAACCGTTTGAATTAGATATAGCACACAAGCCAGCCAGCCAGACAGCCAACACAATCACTTCACTCGATATTGTGCACACCGAAAGATCGAACAGCTAAAGAAGGTAAAATTAATACTATTTACAAAATAAATTGCATGAATGAACTGCAATATACAGTACAACGTTGGTCAAAGTGGGCGTCCCCTTCGAATCCGAATCCAACAACACAGATTAGCTTTAAAAAGACATGATATATATTCTTTCATATCAATGCATATAGATAATTATGGACATCAGTTTGATTGGGATAATGTCAAAATCTTAGACAGAGGAAACACCAAAAGTGCAGTCAGGGAATTCCTAGAAGCCTGGTACTCAAGTGAATTAGCCAGCAATTAACAAACACATCAACTGCAATAGACTAAATTTACCAGCTAATAAAGTGTCAATCACATGACAAGAAATTTCAAATTCCAAGTCAATAATAAAAAATGATCACTGGAGATATAAATCGACAGCCAGTCACGTCAATGGTCGGCAATATGGAGATACAATTACATCATCGTTCATGAAGAGTTCAAATAGCTTCATTTTATACCAAAATCTGAGCTGAAGATGTCGTCTAGAAGGTGGACGACGAAAGCTTCACAACTGAACCATCAACCAGCTCAGAGAGTACATCTAACTAGTCGACTGTTTTACGTGTTCACAGGTAGAGCAGCTAGTTTGCGTAACGTAGCATGTGAACACTGAGTCCATGCAGTTAATAAACTTGATTTCTAGTTTTTGTATTTAGTCATAAACCCGAACTCTGAATGCAATAAGTACTTATGACCTGGTGAGTTAACTGTTATTGACTTGGTTATGACTCATTTTCCTGTCGTTTGGGTGGTGATGACGAGCAGTGTGGGATTTCGTCCGTTTTCGGACTCATCATCTTGATGTATCTGTATCTTCAGTGACTTTTGATATCCCCAGTGAGACTCGAAATTAGGGTCCATGCACACTAGGCTCTGATGTGACCACTGAGACAACGGGGAATTCAAGATAACTTCAGGAAATAAATTCATTTTCCTTCATGAAATCCTTCGACTTCCTTAATTAACATTAATGATTCATCACCGCAAGTTAGAGACAGAGAGTAGATCTAAGAATAGATCCACAGATAAATTGTTGTACTCAAGTCTCTCTGATGAAATTTTTTGGTGCATTTTGGAAATCACTTTGTCTATATACATTGTATACTATGTAACTGTGCGTCGGTGGTACAGAGGTGGAATGCTTGCCAACCACGCCCCATTTGGTCCGGGTTTCGATCCCAGGCCACTAGACGCACTCCCACACCTCACTAAGCCAGTAATAAGACTCACAAAGAGGGAAGGTTGGCTAGGCATGAGACTGGCTAGCAACCCCATCCCGTAAAATTAAACGTCATTGCTACTAAAACTTCGAGCCTACTGCTTGAAGCCGCCCTATGTTCCACTGGGAACGTGAAGGAATAAAAATTTTTAAAAAATTATTACGTAACTAAACTATGGAAGAAAATGAGCACAATTCTTCTCAAAAACAGTTGATGTAAAACATTAAAGATTGTTTTTTCCTCTGTTTTTATTCGGGTTCTCTGGACTGGTTACAAGGCTCAGAAGACACAAATAAATCAGAATCATAGAAAAGAAAACGCGTTCAGCAAAGAGTTACTCTTTTCGGCGACATCATTCTCAAGCTGTACAAACCGCAAATTTATAGTAATTTTTCTTGGCAACAAAAGGAATATTTCCAAAGATGTGTTAATGCAATTGTTAATTTTTGACAACAAATTACGTAATTTAGAAGGCGTTAATCGGTTAGAAACTAAAATAAAGTTACAAAAGTAGGTTGGGTGACGTAATCTAATTGATAGGGTTCAATGAAAAATGAATGAGAGTCAAGTTAATAATCTGAGTAGAATTCACTTGAAAATAAACGAAAATGGAGTTAGCAACAGTCGTCATGAGGGTAGAGATTTAATAGAGGGTGGGGGTAGAAAATAATGCAATTAAGAAACAGACAAACAAAGAAGAAAGAGGTAAGACAAAATTACGTATTTGGTGTTGAGATAGATCAGGACCATTGTAGATTTAGTGACTGAACAAACTTCTTTTGTATGCAGAGTTCAGGATTCAATATGTGAATTGCCATTGCTTCTGCAGTTTGAAGAAGTTTAATTCGTACTCTTTTGGCAAGATTCCCACGTATTGTGTAGATAACTGAGAAGTTGTTTTGTGGGTTTGCTTGGTGTCCGGATTCGATCAAGTGTTCTAGGATAGAGCTGTGGCGGGGGGATCTTCTTTCTCCTTTATAAAACCGTCAAAATCATCCATTTGAGTTACAAATTTCCCCTATTATTAAAGATTCTTCTTGTAGGGTAGGTTAGTTTGAAAACCGAAAGTGATCTTAAGTTGATAAGTGAAGTGATTTTTTGAAAGAAGGGAGGGATTTATTTCCTTGAAGCTGATGTTGGGGAGAAAGAACTGGTATCGTTTTAATTCAATGTGTTTTTCAATGGAGAAAATGTAACACATTGCAAAAGCCAACAATTCACTAAGAGTCCACTAGTTGGTTGGAGGCAGTCGCCTACAGGATGCCTTGGACATCATCTAGGTTTCGTGCTAGTTGGCTGGCACTTACCAGTCAGCAAGGCGTATCTGCAACCGCCTTGAAGGAACTCATGTCCCTTCTGAGATTCGAACTGGCGTCACCCAGTGAGTGCTGCAGTCAGTCAGAAACGTGGCCGTTGAGCTTTTTGGAGTCGCAATTGACTTCCTATAGGACACGTTTGATTGGATACTAGTAACTAGTGTGATGTGTCTAGTCCTTTCTTAGAGTCTACCGTGTGAATAATTTACTGATTGTTGGTCTGATAGTATTATTTGAAAATTATTAAATTTGATGAAGCACCTAGACTAGCCACTTCCAGTTCTATATACCAATTCAACTGCGCTTGCGGTGGAGCGAGTTATATCGGGCGTTACTCTAGGAACTTGATTTTTCGTGCTCACTCGAGAACATCTCCCACTATGGCTAAGTAAAGGTGTAGTTAAAACCATTAACAGTTCGATATTGAACCATCTAGTGCAAACCGGCTGGCCACAGAGCCAGCATTGAAGAATCCTTCTCTATAACATACCGGGTGCCTAATAAATTGCCAAAATCATCGAAGCACAGCATTCTCCTAACAGCAGAGGCTGTGGCTATTCGCTGGAAACAACCAGTGCTTTGTGTTCAAGAGAAGCAAGTCAAGCTAGCCACTACAACTTCCCTGGCCTGCCTCCAGTAGAGACTATAAATTCATGAATTTGTAATATTATCTTTCCTAATTTTTCTGACATTCAGTTTATTTTATGTTGATG